ATCAGTGGTAAATCGTAAAACTTCATTTTTGGCATCCTCGTATGACTGGAACGCAACTGAAGGAACATCCTAAAAATTTCACACCAATAACAGCTTATTCTTCACATATAAAAGTTTCAACAGTTTTACACATTTACATCGATTCACTTATGTTATTAGTGCGAGCAAAGCTGGCTTCTTCACATGTACTAGTTTCGACAGTCTTATTTCCCCCTTGCTCTCCCGCCCCTCCCTGTCTCCCCTCTTACCCCTCCCCTCTTCCCCCTCCCTCATTTCCTTCACTTCTCTCAAATTCCTGTGTTTATCAAATTCGTTTTTCGATTATAACAACATGCTTCATTTTCAGCGTCGTCCTCCACAAGACCGAGAAGTTTGTTATCAGCGAGATTTCTGCTGAATCGTACTATAACGCATTGCTCATCAACATGCAGCGGATTCGGATTTTGCACAAAACTATTACCCGATACATCTCTGATTCTCTGAAAATGCAATATTTATCGTTGCCATACCTAATACCAAACTAAAACCAATAATCATACAAATATAATAATTATCGTAGATATATCTAATACTATACTACTGCTACTACACAGTGTTTAACGGGAACAATGACTTGTTTAATAATAATAGACCAGAAGGATTGTACTAAGCGCCATGTGTAAGGTGATATTTAACAGTGCAAACTGTCTTTCATCGTTTAGATGTAGTAGCAGTAAGGTGATATTTTACGATGCAATCTGTGTTAACACGCGTTACAGACTATAGACGAGGTTCAGTGATAACTACGATATGTTTAATCAAAGAAGATATGCTGTGTGTTAAATGATAGATTTGTCTTTTATCTTAAAAAAAATGCGATGGAAAAAAACCCCCATGAAATATAACTTACCAATGTAAAAACATCCTGTAAATTTAATAAATTTTCAATTTTTTCAATAAATCGATCAATTTTTTCAGCATTTTCCGGATCAGTTTCACGTCTCTGCAACTGATCCTGATTGAGACCATTGATCACGCGTCGTAAAACACCTTCCACTGTTGTAATTTCTAAAAAACAAAATGCTTTAAAAAAACCTGTCTTACTGCAATTTACAATATAAAATCTGACATTTTAATGAAATCCACTGGCACTTTTTTCAACCCACTCAAAAAATAGTTATATATGCATTTTCGGGGCGAATTTTCACACCTTTACATGGAAAACCAAGCAAAAAAAGTAGTCAATTTTTCATCAAAATATGATTATAGAAGTTGGATGAATTTATCTAAAATCCAGGAAGTTTCTCGAAAATTCATTACCACCCGTTTGTGTTTTCGGTGGAACG